TTCTCTCCAAGGAGTGTATTTACCTCAGGTAAGTGTTCAACTCCTATGCCTATCTTTTGCTTGCCTGGAAGCCACAGGTGTGGGTTCAATTCTAGACCTAAAGGGCAGCTAGGGGCCATAGTCTCAGTGGTTCCACCAGGCTCTATCAGACCAGCAAACCTGGTCCCCCTTTTTTTTCTCCCAAATGCTTTTGAGTTTTGTTCCACATTGTTCTCCCTCTCTATCCAGGGTCTCCTACATAGATCCCCCACCGAGTGGTTAACATTGGTAGCTGGGCACCATCTAGTTCTTCTGGTCTCATAGTCATATGGGCTGCAGATTGCATTATGTACCAGTCTCTAGGACTAATTATTTCCATGAATCTTTGGTTTTCTTCATTCTTCTTTGCACTGGATGAGAAGAGACCCATCATTGCATCCAGATGGCTTTTAAGGTCCCAGTTGCTTACAGTAAAACATCTTGACCTGATAAACTCAATTAGCTTTGTCATTGTTTATTTGGGGTAACGTTTGAAAATGTATTTATTAGAAAAATCCATTCAGACAGATTTTTAAATAGTTGAAGAAGAGGGTGAGGGGTTAGAAAGTACCCTGACATCTACACAAATAAAGCCCTGAAAAATGATGAATTTCCAGATGCAAAAGCAGCATGGTAATTCTCAGGGCACAGTTTCTGAAAGTTCTGAAAGAGCATTTTTGTTCAGTCTGTCTTCACAGAGGATGCAAAAGACTCTCCAGAAGATGCTTATGTGCATGTCTTGTCACTATAACAAACAACCCTTACACTTCTGCAGGCTGTGTACAAGGATGTGTTGGTTTTGTATTGCAATGAAAAGTCTGGATGCAGTTTAAGAGGCACTTTATCAGTTCTTTCAAGATAGAGAAAAATAATCAATTGTAATAGAAGACCAATTCATATCAGAAGAGAGTATTAAGTCTTTGCTATAAAAATAAGGAGTACCTTGAGCCCCGGCAAATAGGCCTAATGTCTTTTTGGTAGCTTCTAAAAGATACTTAGGGAGCTCTGGTGGTGTAGTGCTTAAGGCATTTGACTGCTAACTAGAAGTCTGGTGTTTCAAATGCACCGGCCACTCCTTGGAAGGAAGACTGAACAAGCTATTATTTCCATAGAGACCACCTCGGAAACCCAAGGAGGGGTCCCTATGAGTTGGAACAGACTTGAGGCAGTGAGTTTGGTTTAGTTTTTAAAAGATACTTAATATAATTCTCATCTCCAAATGCATTTATTTTTATTTAGTTGATTATTGTAAAGTCAGTATGTGTAAAACTCATATGCCACGTAGGCTTAGCCAAACCAAAGGAAACCCACTGCCTTCATTCAATTCCAACTTATAGTAACCCTATAGGACAGAGTAGAACTGCCCCATAGGGTTTCCAAAGCTGTATTAAAAAAAAAAAAAAAACTCACTACGGTCGAGTCAATTCAACTCATAGTGACCCCTCCTTGAGTTCCCGAGGCAGTATCTCTATGGCAGTAGATTGCTTAATCTTCCTTCCAAGGGGTGGCTGGTGGATTTGAACCTCCAGCTTTCTGGTTAGCAGTCAAATGCCTTAGGTACTAAGCCATTTGAGCTCTCAAAGCTGTCAATCTTTACAAAACAGACTACTACCACAGGACTGATGGCTTCAAGCCACTGACCTTTTGATTAGCAGCTAAGTGCTTAACCAGTGTGCCACCAGGGCTCTGCAGGCTTGGCAGGAGGGTGAAAATGGCTGAAGACTATCTGTGTCCAGGATAGATCTATAATCCTCATGTCTTTTTTTCAATTGATTTCCTACAACTTCAACCTAATAGTCTGTACTATGAGAAGCAAATAATTTTCTAATATTGTATATTTTTTCAATTATAAAAATAATACTCATTATAAACAGTTTTAGAAAATACAGGCAAGTAGAAGAGAAAATAATCAGCCATATTGCCACCCTAAGATAAGCATGATTAACCTCTTTACGTACTTCTAATCATTTTTATGGGAGCTCTGGTAGCATAGGGCCTAAGGCACTTGACTGCTCACCAGAAGGCTGGCGGTTCAAACCCACCAGCCACTCCTCGGAAGGAAGGTTGGGCAATCCTACTTCCGTAGTGATACTGCCTCGGAAACCCAAGGAGGAGTCGCTATGAGTCGGGGCTGACTCGACGGCAAACAACAACAACAATCATTTTTATATTCACAGGCTTTGTTTAAAAATATATTCTACCTTAGTGTATTTATAATGTAGTATCCTGTGTGTTTTTAATTTAGCATTATAAAATGAGCATTGCCCATATACTATGAGTTTCATAAAAATTATAGTATAGCTGCATTCTGTCCTGCTGAATCATTAGTTACTGAATTGTGTCTCTATTGCTGAAATTTTAGGAGTTTTTATGATGGTTTGCTCCATGTAAAATATCTCTGTGCATAAAATTTTGCCCCCAGAATAGGCTAGGTACCCAGAAATATGCTCCAAGGTTCTGAACATGTTTAAGTTGCAGGCCAGACTCTTATGGGGGCAATATATACTTACTAACTTGGAGCTTTTATTTACTTTTTTCTTCTTACAGCTGTACCATATACAAATTACAAAAAAACACCCCCACCGGTACCTCCTCGGACCACCTCCAAGCCACTGATTTCAGTGACAGCCCAGAGCAGTACTGAGTCAACCCAGGATGCCTATCACGACAGCCGGACTCAAAGGATTTCCCCATGGCCACAGGATGGCCGAGGCCTCTACAACTCTACCGACAGTCTGGACAGTAACAAGGCCATGAATCTTGCCCTAGAAACTGCCGCAGCTCAGCGACATGCCTCTGAAAGCCAGAGCAGCTCAACGCGGACCAGTGACAAGGCAATTTTAGTGTCAAAAGCCGAAGAGTTCCTCAAGAGCCGCCGTTCCTCTATAGGGATTCAGGTAGCCTATCATTAACATGTATCTGTGGTGACTTGCTCCACCTGGTTCTGTAAATAGCATAGACTGAGACATTTGGCTTCAGTAGCTCTACAAATCTAATAGCCCTGGCTTCTTAGTATTAATTGTAATCCTCCGCAGGGCAGTGAAACATTAGAGAAAGGTTGTCCTTTCATGTTACAAAGCCGCAAGTGAAATAGGTGGGTGAAACAATCCCAGTGTGAATCCATTTGCAGAGCTAAGGGAGATCCACCTGCTCATGTTGCTTCCCCTGTTAGCCTGGAGAATATCCTCACTTCTGCATTTCCTAGAGGCAAATGGCTGTTTGGAGAGCATAGAGATAAGGTTATTCTGATGCTTAAGAAGGGTGATTTTTTTGTTAAAGTTCAGTTTAGCAAAAGCTTTTCAGTCTCACCATCAAACAGTAAACTGAGGGAAAAGGCACCAGGAATAAAAAGGAGAAAGGAAAAGAAAAGGTTGCTTTGTACAACACTGAAAACATGCTGACAGTTGCTTAAAGCATGGATCACTAAGAGGCGCCCTGTCCAGATGGCAGGGTATTCCTTAGATGGTCCCTTGAGTCCACAAATACTGTTTTCCCTATTTTCAGACCTCCAGTCACTTTAGGCCCCAAAACATTGAGCCAGCATACAGACTTGGTGGTACATTCTCTCTGCCTTTGAATGGATGATAACTTTGAGTATTTTTCATAACACAAGTCAATTTTAAGTGTAGGTAAAATGTAAGGTACTGTTCTAAGAAATAGGAGCAGTATTTCAGGTCACTTCACCCTTGTTCAAATACGTCCAATCAAGGGGCAGCACCAGCAGTTTTCTTTATAGCAACCAAATCTTTTAATTCAGCTCAGGTGAATCTTCCCTTCCAGATCTTATTGATGTAATTAACCAGGTTTGTTAATAAAGTTCTTTGCTGAGATGGTTCTCCTCTTGCTTCCTTAACTCCTCCATTTAGCCTGTGTCCAGCCAGAAGTTTATAAAATCAGAATGCTTTAATCACCACTGAGCCTCACCCAGGGAAGAGGTCAAGTAGAACTCTAGCTAACAGAGCCATGTCTTGTGCTTGGCATTATTGTGAGAGGTGATACTATGTCCTGGATATGATGGGGATTTGGAGCAAAGTACTGTCTGGAGGAGCAGGGTGGGAAGAGTGCCCGCTTTTATAGGTCCTCTGAACCAGGTCTCCACAGTGTGGCTTCATTGTTTTGTTTAGGATTCTGAATTCCCAGAGCATCAGCCATACCCAAGGTCAGATGTAAGTACCAAAATATACTCCAAAGCCAAATACGCATGAATTTTATTTTATCTACCTTTTTTGGATTATTCATACAACTGCTCTTGTCACTTCTCTCTGTCCTGATTCTATATGCCAGGCACTATGCTAGGTGCTTTCATATTATTGCATTGTACCCAATGATGTGTAATTAGTCCCACTTAGATGATGAGAATGATGGTGCTCAGAAAGGTTAAGTAGCTTTCCTGCAACCAAGGGACTGGCTGAGGTTGTAGAGGTAGTAATTTGGAAAGCCAGAATTCCTATGCAGATCTCTCTGGCTCCAAAGTCATGGTGATAATAGAGACTTGGGAAGTCCTCAAAATTCACTAGGTCTATTTCAAATCTCTAAAGCGATTGTGCCACTTTTTAATTTTCTCACCTGCCACCTTCCACAAGCATTTTCTAGACTGCCCAACTCAGCAATAAACAAGCAAATGAGAGGGTAAACATCTGAATACATGACTTTTTCTGAAGGTAGTGGGAAGATAATTTTAAAATCCACTAAATCATATTATCATAATGATAAATTATGCCACCACTTCCTGCCTTCAGCTTTCTCCTAACAGCTTTTTTTCTCTCTTACTCCACTCTGTTTTTAGCTCCCATGTCTTTGTTCAAGTTCTTTCTGCCTAAAGTATAATTTCCTCTCCATATCCACCCCACCATTTCATCTTCTAAAACACAGATCATGTATTAACCACACTAAGAACCCTTTCTTGATACTATCTCCCAAATTGTGTGTTCTGTGAAGACTGGGACTATACCTTATGCATCTTGATATCCCCAACACCTAGCACAGTGCCTGACACATAGTGAGTGCTTGATAAATGTTGAACAAGTGAGTGAATGAATGAATGACTGGATGAGTGGTTGGCTGAAGATAAATGTGAATACAAGGATACAAGTGTTAGCTAATTCAGCTGTCTTTTATGGCAGTAAAAAATGCACAATACTATGAGAGCTTTTAACCTAGTAATTGTCACAAGTAGTTAATCAAGAAGCCAAAGGAAAATATAATCAAAGAAACTCAAGAATCAAGATAAAGAAAATAGGCAACAAAATTAAAGATAGATGTGTTTAGGAAGGCAAACCAAAGAATGAAGAACAAAGAAACAGAATGAAATGAATATTTAAACAAATGAAAAGACTATCCCTAGACACCTAAAAGGCATTAGAGGAATGGCTAAAGATAAGTCTAGTGTTGACAAGGCACAAAGTAAAATAATAATAGTAATTAAAAAAAAAAAATCTGTGGACATTTTTGCTGTGCCTCTGGCTCTCCACTACATGCTTGCTTAATACTCATAATAACCCTATGTGCTATTTGTTATTTTGCCTAATTTATGGCTGGGGAAGCTGAGGCCCAGGAAGGGTAAGTTTGCCTAAGGGTACATAGACAATAAATACACACACAACTAGAATGGAAACCCAGGTAAATCTAATCCCAAAGCCCAAACTGTTCTGCTTCCCAAAGAAGAGAAATAAAATGGCACAATGGTTCTGTGCCCTCAGTGAGCCAGAACTGATTCTCATTCCATGGACTTTCAGAATGAAAACGCAATCTCTCCTTCTGTTTCGGAAGCTGGATATGTGTTGCTCTGTCCTACAGCTTTTGTAAAAGGAAGACGGCTAGCATTTTGTATATTCAAACTAGCAACTAATGGGACTAATTTTCTCCTGATCACTCATTAATTTCCACTAATTTACCAGTATTGTTCTTACTTCTGAATACAGTTCACACTGCTGAATGAAACTTCTGTAGAGCTCACACCCTAAATGAATCACTGATTTATGAGTTTATAACTCCCTAAGTTTACAGTACATCTTTTGACACTGTACAACTGATTTCTTCAGGATTTGATTTACAAATGCTGGGCTCCATCTAATGTGATAGCCCAGTGACTGGATCTAATTTCAACCCTCACTTTTGGGTCCAGTCCTCCCTCTCTGTGCAGTTTAAACTAGAAGCAAGCTGCTAGTTACCTATGTTTCTCACATCTCTGGAAGTTCCTGCTTGTGAGACTAGCACTGTACAGCAGGACATGAAAACAGGTCCCATCAGAGCCTCTGGACTTACAGGCCAGAGACCCTCCAGTGAAGAAACACACAGAAGCCTTAGAGCTCACCACTTAGTCCTAGGATAGCCAATCCCGCTGCTGTTGAATAGATTTCAACTCATGGAGACTCATATGTGGCAGAGTAGAAATGTACTTCATAGGGCTGTGATGGATGATTTTTCAAAAATATTCACCAGACCTTTCTTCCCAGGTGCCTGTAGGTGAACTCAATCTTCAAGTGAACAGTTAGCAGCCTATCTCATAAACTGTTTGCATCAGCAGGGACTCCAATCCTAGCATAAGGAGCCTGAAATAATTTGCTAACATCATTCTGGGTGTCCTTAAATAGGTCATCTGACCTGGAATCAGTAATCTGGCCCACCTTACTTTTCTTCATTCTGATGGTAACATTTAACTATTACTTTTGTGTCCATTCATTTGTTTTTATCTGTTTGTTGTTTGTTATTGCAGAGATTTTAATTTTCTTGTGTGTATGTGTGTGTGTTGTACAACTCTTGAAATTGTCCTGCTCCCAGATACTATAGTTTAATGGAAGGGAGTCCCGGTTTCTTAGTCAGGAGTCCTTCAATTCCATCTGACTTAGTAGCCCCATCTGTAAAATGGAGACAAAGACCATTATTATTAATGATCTATTATTTCACTATCATTCTCCTTTATGAGAATAAAGGGGCACAACATATGAAAGCCCTTGTTATTAATCATTTCACATGCCCTCCACTGAGATGAAAATGTTTACCACTAATCCATAAATTCTGTCTCATTAGCCCTAAGCCATTTCATGTTTTAACCAGGCCTTCCACCATTCTGCTTGTTATACTTGCTTATGCTATAACTTTATATGCATTTGATAACAGCAGGATTTCAAATCATATTTGACTCTTTGACTTATAAGAGGTCCCTGAGGAAAATAAAATGGCTTTGTATCAAAAGTAATATACCTGCATTGCAATGTGTAAAGTTTTGAACACAAAGCAATAAAAGAGCACAGTTTCTGATATGATATCTAACAGAATATTACTGGTCAATAGCTCCCACCAACAGCACCAGATTCATTCTTTCACGGTCAGTGAAAAGGCTGGGGCTTAGTCTGAGGCTGAATTGAGGTTGTCTTTCACTGAAAACTTAGGTCAAGCCACCAGATGTGGAAACAAGACACATAAGGGCCTATCTCTTCAGCCTCATCTCTCATCAGTACTACACAACACACACACACACACACACACACACACACATCAGCCATAGTAAACTCCTTGCTTCTTAAACAGGTCATGCTTAAGAATGTCCTCCATCACACTCTATGACAGAAGGCTCAGATTAAATCACTGGTGACACTGCTCTGTTGTTGTTATATGCCATCAAGTTACCCCGACTTATAGCGACCCCTCCTTGGATTTCCGAGGCAGTATCACCACGGAAATAGATTGCCCTATCTTTCTTCCGAGGAGTGGCTGGTGGGTTTGAACTGCCAGCCTTCTGGTTAGTAGTCAAGTGCCTTAGGCACTACACTACCAGAGCTCCTTGCCCTAGGAAGACTTAAGTCAGTCTTCTGCCTTCCCACAGTACCTCAGCAATCCTCTATGAAAGCACATTATCAGTTTATGTGTCTATCTTACCCATTAATCAATAAGCCCTTCAAATACAGTTTTTACATCTCAAATCTAAAAACCCATGGCTGTCAAGTTGATTCTGACTATTCTGACTGATAACAACCCTCTAGGACAGAGTAGCACTGCCCCATAGGGCATTTATCCAAGACGATAAATCTTTAAGGAGGCAGACTGCCTCAACTTTCTACTGTGGGGCAGGGCAGCTGATAATTTCACCTGAAATACTGTGATTTTGCTGATTCATCTTTTTTTTTCTCCTCAACACCTAGAATAGCTAGCTAGTAAATCTTTTAAAATAAATATATATATACATTTTTCAAAGTTTTTTTCATTTTTAATTTGGAGTCCAGAATTTCCACTGTTTCTTTTCTTTGTCTTATGTAGCTCTGGTGACACAGTGGCTAAGTCATTTGGCTGCTAATCAAAAGATCAATTCAAATCCACTAGCTGCTCTAAGGGAGAAGGATGAGGCAGTCTGCTTCCATAAAAACTTACAACTTTGGAAACCCTATGGGATATTCTGCTCTGTACTGTATGGTCACTGTGAGTTAGAATCAACTCAAAGGCAGTTTGGTGTTTTTGGTTTATTTTATCTTAAACTTGCTTTTTTTTTTTTTCTATCTCTACTCTCAATCTCTACCCCCAGTATTGCTGAAATAGATAAAATGGTGTTGACAAAGCACAAAGTAAAATAATAATAATAATGCTGGCCATATATGATCTCATTATATCCCCTCTCAAACTTTCACCTTCCAACATTAGTGAACTTAATAAAAAAAAGGATTCACATGGCAACCACTATTAACATCTATAAAATTTATCAAATATATATTATTTTAATTTATATATATACATATATGTATATATATAAATATATATATGTGTGTGTATATATATATGTAGGAGCTCTGATGGCATAGTGAATAAGGCATCTGACCACTAACCAGAAGGTCAGTGGTTTAAACCAGCCGCTCGATGGAAGGAAGATGGGGTAATCTACTTTTATAAAGATTTACAGACTTGGAAACCCAATGGGGGTCACCATGAATTGGAATTGACTCCATGGCAGTGAGTTTGTTTTTTTTTGGTTTATATGTGTGCATATATATGTTGTTGTTGTGTGCTGTCGAGTTGGACCCAACTCATAGGGACCCCTCCTTGGGTTTCCAAGGCAGTGTCACTATGGAAGTAGGTTGCCCAACCTTCCTTCTGAGGAGTGGCTGGTGGGTTTGAACTGCCAGCCTTCTGGTTAGCAGTCAAGTGCCTTAGGCACTATGCTACCAGAGTTCCCGTGTGTATGTGTGTGTGTGTATATATATATATATATATATATAATTCATTCATCTGATCATCCTATAATTTGTGAGGAGAAAACATAAAATTTTTGTGGACAAGCTTACATGAATGGGCTTTGTAAAGAGAATTTTACATTAGTCAAATAAGATATTTGACGTCACCTTCATTTCTGAGTCAAAAAAGCTAATACTCAACAAAATTTAAGAAACTTACCTAAGAGTCATACAGTCAGTAAGTGGGCAGAATCTGACTGACTGCAAAAGCTGTATTTTTCTAACTCACTACAAAAATAGCATAATTTTTTTCAATAAAATTTGGGAACTAGAGAAAGGGAAAAAAAAATTCTTCTGTTATATTTTTTGTTGTATGTGTTTTTAGTCACTTATATGAATATATGTACCTGTGAATATATGTATTTTTTTTATTATGATCATTTTGTGTAAATAATTATAATAATAATCTCCATGTCAAGCAAGGGAAAATTTAATAAAGCCATCACTTATTTAAAATTAGAATGAGGAATGGTGATTAATGGTAAAGTTAGGATTTTCACTCAAAAATTTCTTCCTCCTGTAGTCAGTCTGTTTCTTGCTCCATCTTTAAAAAATGTATACAAATTAGGTACAACTTCTCTGCAAGTCTTCAGAATTATACCAATTTAAAAAATTGGTGTATCTGATCATTTCCCATGGCTAGTAATGATGAGCACAGGCTCTGTTTTCAGAAGATCTGGGATTGAATCCTAGCTCTGCCAAGAACAAACTGTGTGCCCTTGGGCAAGTTACTTAACTTCCTTGGTTCCTCAACTGTTGTGAGGATTGTTGTGAGGATTACTTGAGTAATGTTCTTAGCACAGTATCTGGTGCATGGTAAGCATAAAATAAATACTAGTTACAATTACTATTATTATTATTATTATCACTTCTGTGAATCACAACTTCAGTTCATCCTTGGTTTTCATAGACTTAGCCTTAGGTCAATCACAAATTATAATTAAATTTATAAAGTACAGCTTTTCTCTCAAAACTCGGAGAATTCAGTAACATAATTATTTGTTCAATGGTTTGTACTCATCCTTCTAGTAATCACTAATATTTTTTTAAAAAGGAAACTGTTTCACAAGTAGGTTATTATATTTTGAATAGAGGTCAGAAATCCTTTTGATACGATGGTAATATTTTTGTGCAAAAAGAAAACGACAGTTGAGTACCATGGAATATTTATGATTTAACTAACTTTTGGTTTCACAGACTATTCATATTGAGAGTTTTTGTTTTTATGGGATTTTCTTTTAGAAAATTTACTATATTAGAATTCCATCATGTGATAAGTTTACACTGCTGATGATCATTAAAATGCTTCATGGCTGCGGGGGAACTTTTGGTCAAATACAGCTACACTAAAGATTGTCTGTCCGAAACATGATACTGTGATCCGACATCACCCTGCTGACACAGTACTGTTAGCAAATGTGAGACAGCTAAATGTTGATGGAGAGATTGTCTTAATGTTTTGGATAAAATGCTTAAATGCTGTCTTTTTGTATGTGGATGCAGCCATCAGTATAATTCTATTAAATTGCTTATTTGTTTTTGTTAGCCATGTTTGGTTCATGCTGTACTTAGTTTCTTCACTGTAGGATGTGATAAGCACTTTTAAGTCCTATAATAATGCAGTCCAGAGACGGTTTCTTGCCTGAGATGAACTAAGTCACTTTACTTGCATACATTTAAAAGACAGAATGCCACATTGAGTTCAAGTAGTTATGTAAAATTTGGTGAAGCACAGTAGCAACCTAATTACACAAACATGAATTACATATCCCTTTCTTTGTAATTTTACTGGGTCAAGTGCATCTCTGCATTGATTAAACAAGTGCATAATTAATTACAGCAAATGAACAACAACAACAAAAAAAAATAGTCCCTTGTCCAGGCCCCACATTTCAGTCCTAAAATAAGATGTTTTGTGTTGAATTAGGTGGAAACAGCTACAGATTCTGACACGGAGAGCCGAGGCCTACGGGAATATCACTCTGTTGGCGTGCAAGTAGAAGATGAAAAGCGGTAACTCACCCCTCTTCAAAATATATGTTTCCCAAGTGAGAGCTGTTTGTTAAAAACCTGATTGCAAGACTCTAGATCACATTGGCCATCAATAATTCATGCCATTTGTGGAAACAGGGTCATATATTTATGCTTTTCAATTTCTATCGTTCAAGTATGAATTAACATTCACCTATGTCTTGTTTTTCCAAGAGGCAAGGGAATAATTCTTTCTAATTTACTACTTCTGAATGCAGAGTGGCTGACAGCTCTGAAAGTCAGAGTTTTTTATCCAAAGGAAATGGATAAAAGAATGGGCTGAGGGTAATGTATGTTTTCTCACCTGATAATGTTAAAAGTAAAAAGAAAGTCAGAAAGTGAAAGAGAACGAAAGAAGTTCAAGACCTTAGATATGCCATGAAATTGTTTCACTCATAAAAGAACTACCTTAAACTATAAACTGTAAAATCATGTCCTTTAAAGTAATGTTATTTTTACAACAAGGGCAGGATAATAATTTTATTTTATGTTTTAAATAATATACAGTATCTTATAAATGTAATAAAAACAAATTTTAATGAGCACATTACATATTGAACATCAATAAGCATCTTGTAGGTAAAGTGCAGAATAGTATTCCTTATAGCAGAAGGTTTTAGAACCTGATCTGTAAAGATTTTGACTGCAAAGAAATTCAGACCACAAATTAATGACTCCCATGAATTTTCCAAGTAGACTTTTCAGAAACTGGACATCTTTTGCACCTGGGAAACTGGGCTTGTTGCCCTCCATCCTGATCAGTAGTTCGTTGTCATCCCCTTTGCCTCCAGCAAAGGAAATAAGTGGCAAATTCATTAACCAGCTGTTCTCACAGCTGTTTGCCATCTGTGGATTCAGTTGGTGAGTAGCCAAAACATATCTACAGTAAACTTCGGATGTGCAGACATACACACACAGACACATACACACACTCTATCCTCTCAACTCACATACACTCAGAGTTTTCATCTAGCAATATCTGGTCTGCAATTATAGGCTTGTTTCCCGCCAATCATTTCATTAATTGTCTATGTGGAAATAGGTTATACTCAAATACATACAATGAGAATGTTTAAAAAAAAAAAAAAAAAAAACACCTGCTGAAGACAGAATTTGGGTTCATTTTTTATTTTGACCTTGAACTAGATAGATGGACAGAGTGACTGCCAACAATGAGGATGGGGCAGGACCTGGCAGTGTTTCATTCTCTGGTACCTAAAGTTGCTGTGAGTTAGAACCAACTTGATGGCATCTAACAACAACAACAACATTTTGCATAAAAGTTAATGAGGATGATATTAAGTTATTAAACTAGGAAAGGATGTTTATGCCCTACAATGTGATAGAGTCACTAAAACTCAGTATGACACAGATATTATTTACATAAAAATGTAACATAACACATCATGTTATATATATACAACATGAAGTTGAATAAACTTGTAGCACATTTCTGAAAGAAAGGTAACCATTTGAAGACAGTGGTTTAATAGAAGACATTTACTCTCATTATTCAGTAAACTGAAATCTTAAGGTGACATCATTTAGACACTGAAACCTAGGCAGATGTTGAAGTTTAATTACTTGTAAAATGAAGCAGTCTTTCATGAATGAAATACATAAAGTGTTACATAATAAAAACTTTCTTTTTCTTTCAGAAGGCATATTTAGGATTTTGTTGCATATTTAAATGCATCTCAGAAAGTCTACCATTTTGTCTTCTTTTCCTCCTTCTCTAGACATGGACGTTTTAAACGTTCCAATAGTGTAACCGCTGCTGTCCAAGCAGACTTAGAATTAGAGGGCTTCCCAGGACACATCACCATGGAGGACAAAGGTCTCCAGTTTGGTTCATCCTTCCAGCGACACTCAGAACCTAGCACTCCTACCCAGTATGGAGCGGTAAGAACTGTACGGACACAGGGACTCTTCAGTTATAGAGAAGATTATAGGACCCAAGTTGACACTTCAAACCTTCCCCCTCCTGACCCTTGGTTGGAGCCATCCATTGACACAGTAGAAACTGGAAGAATGTCTCCATGCCGCAGGGATGGGTCATGGTTCTTGAAACTTCTGCACACAGAGACAAAGAGAATGGAAGGCTGGTGTAAAGAAATGGAAAGAGAAGCAGAGGAAAATGATCTCTCAGAAGAAAGTAAGAACACTTTTTTTTTTCCCTATGTTTTTAGACACTGGTAATTTTTCAATGAAAAAGAAAAAACAAGTGAGTGTGAATATTAATGCAGAAAACTTCCTTAGATATTTGAGAAAATAAAAATAAATATGCTTTCTGCCATCCTCAATTCTAAGAAAAAATAAACAATTATAAAGCAACCACTGAAATATTAAAAAGTTTATTTTATTTTTTTAAATGAATTGAATATGAGATCAATTATCCTAATGGTTTTCTTGGCGATATAGTTTTTCTCATATTCCACTTGCCAATTCTCTTGGCAGTGTCTTAATGTGGGGTATTTTGATTGTTTTCTAGAATTTCTACTGTCCCATATTCATAAAAAGTTGCTTTGACATTAGACCAGAGAAAAGCTGATATATAAAAGACTCAACCACTTAGGTATAAAATACCTGGCTACAGTTTTCTGGTCATTAGGTTAAATGGAAATTGTCCTGGCCAGTGTCAGAAAGCAGATCTACTCTAAATGCCTTATAGTTCAAGTAAGTCTCTGCTTCTCTATGTAGAAAGGGACAGCTCCCTTATTCTCCAGTTCCCTACATTTACCTGAAGAAATGGATCATAAAGATTTTTTTCAGAAACAGCATTCTTTATAAATTGTACATGATTTTTAAATAAATATAAATTCATTTATTTTTATTTATAAAAGAGAACTTTTATAAATTTTCCTTTTTTTATAGACTGAGATTATCAAGAATATAATCGCAAAATATTTAGAACTAGCACTTGTCATTACCAAAATAGAATTCTTCAAAGATATTTCAGAATGTCTTAACTTGACAAATCATACTCTCCTTAAAGTACTTCTTTTCCAAGCTTTCCTTTATACATTTATTAGATCACTATAAATTCTGAAATTTGGAATGATAGACAATGTTCTTAGGAATCTAGCCCTGACATTGCATTTCTAGATAACTCCTATAATGGAGTGTGCCAGTAACCCTAGACATGGAAGTATGACAGTGAAATTATAGTGACTGTAACTTACAGAGTGCAATGGACTTGGAATCCAAGAAAACAGAGAAAATAATTTTAGTATTAAAATTTTTAGCTGTTCTGACTTACGGTGTTAACCTATGAAGAAATGGGAATAGTGTCTTTAAATGACTGATTATATGCTTACACATTTCTCTCAATCATCAAATTCCATGTATCATTTACATGAGTTGTTACTAAACATTTAGTGTTTTGGAGAAAGTGTTACATTTGAACCTGCCCTCTCAGCTCTTCTGTTTCTACAATTCTGCACATGGCTGATAAATGTCAGAGTAAGAGTATTCAAATTGTTCACATACTCTTTGCTTAAATTTACCATCTGCTTAGGGTGCATTTAATGGAGTGATTATTCATAATTCTGATATTTAAAAATTACTCATTTTCTGTAGCATTTTTCTCTTTGTCAGTATATGTTTCAGCCTAGAGCAATCATTTTAATTGTAATATGGATTTATGATGTCTTTCACAAAGACAAAACACAGAAAAAGTAAATTGAGTAAGTCTGTGCCCAAGAGGAGTTTAAATTATCAACTCTATCTTTGTGTGTGCTAACTAGTACAGCCTATGTTGGTTGTATATTCTCTCTAGGCATGGAAAATGTTGTAAGACCTACATATTGAACAATCACGATACATTTTCTATCAGTGATTACTCAATAAAAGACCTTTGATGAAGATGAGGAGAGAGAGGAAAAAAAATTCAGAAGGAAGTAATATTTGTCAGTTCTTAACCCCATCCGAGCAATAGTAAGGATGACGCAGGATCAGGCAATGGTTCATTCTGTTATGCATAAGGTTAACATGAGTTGGAGTCAATTCAATGGCAGTTATCTATCTAAGCCTATTAAATGTCTATAAAATTTATTCTATTATCATTTGAATTTGCACCATTGAATTTACACATTGTAAAATTCTGGTCTCCTTTTGTGTATAAAGGAGCTCTGGTGGTGCAGTGCCTAAGACATCTGACCACTAAGCAGAAGGTTGCAGTTTAAACCCACCAGCCTCTCTGTGGAAGGAAGTTGGGCAATTTACTTCCGTAAAGATTTACTGCCTTAGAAGCTCAGCTGGGTTGCTACGAGTCAGAATCGACTCAATGGCAGTGGGTTTGGTTTGCTTTGCTTTGTGTGTATAAGACATTAGTTTTTACTATGTTCATAAAATAACACAGAGCAATACTTCCCTTATCATAATTTTCCATATTTAATTTGTACTTTTAATTTAGTCAGAATTTTACCAAGAATAATTTATTTTAAAAATTAGAAACCTTTAAATCACCACTATTGAACACTTATTATTTGCCAGGTACTATGTGTTTTACACACCTCATTTAATGCTTACCACAATGTAACAGGTAGATATTTTCACCACTCAAAAAACAAGGAAACAGAGGCTTAGAAACGTTGGTATCTTGCAAATGTCACACAATATAGCTATGGAATCAGGGCTCAATATCAGAGCTGTCTGACGTAAAAGATTGTGCTTCTCCACTATACTTTCTAAAGTTAGTAAGATCAAAATGTTATTTTACTAGAAGCTTTCTGCTTTATATGTTTCTGTCCTATCTTTGTACTTATTTTCTACTTTCTTCTGCTGCTTTAGAAAATATTGAGTATATCATTTAGATACTTCATCCTGATCCCACCACAGCTGGGACACCCATTCGGGGTCCGGAGATAAGCCCTTAGCTAATAATATCTATACTTAGGTTATTGTGCCTTAGCCATTGGGAAATAATAGGTGAAAGTTAGAAAGAGGCAAATTTCTTCTCAAACTAAGAATGAATGATCTAGCAATTAAAAGCTTTCAATGCTGCAGTAAGGTCAAGATGGTTATTGATTATTTTCTCACTGGTGGCACTCAAGAAAATTCTGTATACAATACCATAAAAGTACTATATGGGTAATTGAATTTGATAACGTATTAGGGACAAATCAACAATAAGATTCCCTCATTTTATGACATATAGTATTAAAATTTTAGCCTTATTGTTATTGTTATTATGTGCTGTCGAGTCGGACCCGACTCACAGTGACCCCTCCTTGGGTTTCCGAGGCAGTATCACTATGGAAGTAGATTGCCCCATCTTCCTTCCTAGGAGTGGCTGGTGGCTTTGAACCACCAGCCGTCTGGTCAGCAGTCAAGTGCCTTAGGCACTATGCAATTGTTATTAGGTATTTGGAAAACATGTTTTTCTTCAGCAAGATATAGTGGAAATCGAAGTTCTGCTACTTCTCAGTTGCATTTCCCTAAACAAGTTTAAACCTTTTTGAAACAATGGGAATTTCTTCTGGACTCTTTCATGAATATATATATTCAATAAATACCTACTGAATACTAAACTATAAGCAAGGAACTCTGGTAGCATAGTGCCTAAGGCACTTGACTGCTAACCAGAGGTTGGCGGTTCAAACCCTCCAGCCACTCCTCAGAAGGAAGGTTGGGCAATCTACTTCTGTAGTGATACCACCTCGGAAACCCAAGGAAGGGTTGCTACGAGTCGGGTCCAACTCAATGGCAACCAACAACAACATAGATACCATCAAAATAATTTTTGTTCTGTGTCTTTTTTATATTTCTATTTAATCACTAAATATAATTGCATTGCTTTAAACTTTGCTATCAATTCTAAAGCAGAAATAAACTTACCTTCTTTTTGATTTCAAACAAGTGAAAATTTTCAGTATTAAGATTACACAAACAAAAGCAAACCAAACTCATGGCCATCTAGTTGGATCCAACTCATAATGACCTCACCTTGGGTTTCTGAGGCAGTATCACTACAGAAGTAGATGGCCCAGCCTTCCTTCTGAGGACAATCAACTATACTAGAACAAAAGGGCAGCATTTGCTCAGGGATAAAGTTAAAGAGGCAGGAAGGGATAGGAAAGAAGGACTGAGGGAAATGGTAAACACAGGAAGTTGGAAGAGTACTGTTACACTGTAGAGAATGCAGTGAATGTCACAAAACAAAATGTGTATGAACTGTTGAACTGAAACCCAATTTTCTCTATAAAATTTCACCCAAATCACAATTAAAAAGTGAAAAAAGAGATTGTAAAAACATTTTTAATTAAAAAAAAAAATGATTACAGTGTTTATCTTTCAAAACGAAGGCAAAAGGATGAATGCATTGATAGTTATTGTGACTTTTATAATTCTTTTAAGGTGCCCAGATAAGATTATCTTTATGTGAAAAAAGATGAAAAAGCACTTGACATGTATCTCATCTACTGTTTTGCACATAAAATAGCACAATATTAATCAAGTTCAAATATTTCCCTAATAATTTTTCAAAGATAAGATGACCTCCAATTCTAGTTAAGATTTTAAGAAAAGATACAGGGTTATTAGTTTAGATGTTTTTAAAAAGAAAAGAATATTGAAATTCCCCATTACATGAAATAATTTTTGCAAAAAACTATAGTTTCATAATTTACTGAACTGACTGCATGAATCTAAATTCATCCAATCCTCTATAGCTAATGAAAACTACTTGGGGACACTGGTTTAAGTTATGTCATATTAATGCATGGATTAAAAAAAACAAAAAGTTGCCAGGCTGTTAATTTTGACTCATGTCAACATTTTATGTTGCAAAATAGAACTGTGCTCCACATGATTTTCAAGGTTGTGATCTTTCAGAAGCAGAGTGCCAGGCCTTTCTTCCAAGGGACCACTGTGTGGGTTCAAAATGTCATCCTTTCAGTGTGGTAGTCAACACTTAACTATGGTACCTAGGGACTCATGTTATTATTGTTAGGTGCTGTGTGTACTCTGTATACAACAGAACTCTATGTACAACAAAACAAAACACTGCCTGGTCTTGCATCACCCTCACAACTCTTGCTATGTTTGAGCACACTGTTGAAACCACTGTTTCAATCCATCTCCTTGAAGGTCTTTCTCTTTTTTCGTTAGCCCTCCACTTTACCAAGCATGATGTCATTCTCCAGGGACTGGTCC